TCCTGTAGGGCCCCAGTGTGATCTTTGGACTGGGCCACATTCTTTAGAAAATTGGCTTAAGCTATAATTTAGAGCTTCCGTAACATTGTATAAGTGGTAGAGTTTAATTTAGTCGTCATGGGTATTGAGTGAGCTTTAAAAGTTATTGATTATCAAAACATCATTAGACTAGTAAGGATTGTTACACTGCTTTTAAAAAACATTAACTAGCAAAGGGAACAATGAGACAATCTTGGGGTTTGTTCCTCCTCACACCTAAGCATCTGGTGGGTAGGGGATGCCCCCCCGCACATGGCTTTGTGTTCACGTGAAAGACTTGTGAGACTGCCTGTCTAAAATTTGGGGATAAATACCTGCTATAACTTTCAATAAATGGCTTCTGCTCATTTCACTAAACAGTTGTCCACTTTCTTTCTTTCTCTTTCTTCCTCTTTATATCTATCCTTCCATCTTTCTTTCTTTTAATATCTATCCCTACAGATTCGCCGACGCCACCACATCTTCCAAGGGACTCCCCAAAACTTGCAGCGGCTGGCCCCCCGCATTAAGTGATCTCATACGGCACTTGCCTGTCTGCCTTGCATTGTAGTTACTGGTGTTCTTGCCTTGTTTTCCTTTTTTTTTTTTTTTTTTGAGTTGGAGTCTCGCACTGTTGCTCAGACTAGAGTACAGTAGCACGCTCCCGGCCACCACAGCCTCAACCTGCTGGGCTCCGGCGATCCTTCCGCCTCAGCCTTCCAAGTAGCTGGAACTATAGGCGAGCGCTACCACGCCCGGCTAGTTTTTTGATTTATTGTAGAGATGAGGTCTCGCCAAGTTTCCCAGGCGGGTCTCGAACCTGCGGGCTCAGGCAATCCACTCACCTCGGCCTCCCAAAGCGCTGGGATTACAGGCTGAGCCACCGAGCCCAGCCTATTGTCCTTTTTTAACTCGTGAGCTCCTTAAAGCAGAGACTATGTTTTGCTCATTTTTGTTTAACCCAACAAGCACTTATTGAATAACTACTATGCTAGATACTGACCTGAAATGTAAGTAAAGATTTCTTCTCTTCAGAAACTCACAGAGGAGTGAGGGGGACAAGTATATACAATGAGCAAACATCGGTCATAGACTAGACAGATGTTATAAAAGAAGGCCTGGAAGAGCGAGTGGGTACCACCCTAGTGGTTGAGCGGGACTGGGGCAAGCCCACAGAGGATGCGTGAGCGTCTGGCAGCAGAGGGACAGGCAAAGGAGTTGGGCCTTTATGCTGTAGTAGTGGGAGCCATTGGCAACTCTCAAGCAGATCCCACTGATTTTTTTTGTGCTGATCGCTCTGGAATATGGATGAAGAGGACAAGACTAGTAGCAGGGAAATCAGTTTACAGTAGACCTGGTGAAAAATAAGGGTCTGAACCAGGACTGTGGTAGTGGGGATGAAGAGAACAGGTTGATTTACTAGACGTCTAAAAGTTAACCTGACAGGGTTTGGGAGAGGACCATTCTGGGTTGATCCCAGGTACAGATTTAGTAGCTGGCTGGTTAGAAATGGAGGTCAGCGCCATGGAAGGATAGCTTCTCCCACAAAAGGATCCTTAAGGTTCACATATGGACTTTAATATCCACATGCCCCTGAATTTGGATATAAGAGAACGTGTGTGCTTGAGGGTGTCTTTCTGGGGAAGGCCCACACATTTTGCCATTTTTTTTTTGAGTTGGAGTCTCTGTCACCCAGACTGGAGTGCAGCAGCCGCTCCCGGCCACCGCAGCCTTGACCTACTGGGCTCTGGCGCGGGATTACAGGCTGAGCCATCGAGCCCGGCTACATTTTGCCATTTAACAATCACTGCTAAAGTCATATAAGGGAAGAGGGTCAAAAACAGAACTTAGGGGGACAACCAATACCTAGGGATTGTGCAAAAGAAAAGGGGCCAGTTTAGAGTTGAGAATAGTGCCTCATTTATAGCATGGCCCTATTAAAGATAAAATTTCGGCTGGGTGTGGTGGCTCATGACTATAATCTCAGCACTTTGGGAGGCTGAGGCCAGAAGGTTGCTTAAGCCCAGGAGTTTGAGGCTGCAGTGAGCCATGATTGCGCCACTGCACTCCAGTCTGGCAACTGAGTGCGACCTTATCAAAAAAAGGAAGGAAGGAAGGGGAGAGAGAGAGAGAGAGAGAAAGGAGGGAGGGAGAAAGTTTGGTAGATGTTTCTCTCAGGTTTAACTGTTAGCAATCAAAGACTAATTGAACCCTGGGTCTTATTTCTAGATCTTTCCAAGACCTTCCTATCTCACTCAAAATCTTAGCCTTCCAGGTCCTGGGACTTGTGGGCATTTTCCTGTGGAAATTTCCTGGCAGCCTCTCCTTCTTTTGTCAGTTGTCTGTCCTCATTATAGGCCACTTCTTCCAGTCTGTCTTTTGGGATTTGAGTTCAGCTGGAGGATTTGCATGAGCCTTCCTGCATATTCCATTCATCTGGGGAATACGAGGAAGGTGGGAGAAGAAGAAGAAAGATGCTAAGGGGGAGACAGGCCGTGAGACAGAGGCATGAGGCCATAAAGATCAACACCAGGATATCGTCTCTCAGTTCCAGGTGCTTTCCCCAGATTGCCAGGGTTTTCTTTTGGAAAGACTTCACTTTTACATTTACTCATATAGATAATTAACTGCATCTACATATTTCAAGTCTCTGAGCTTCTTGTGGTCGCCCCTAGTAACAGCCGAGTACATGGGTTTAACAGGCCCTATTCCTGTATGTGTGTGTGTGTGCGTGTGTGTGTGTGTGCGTATACACACACATATATATTTTAAAATAAAGACAGGGGTCTCATTATGTTGCCCAGGCTGATCTTGAACTCCTGGGCTCAAGCAATCCTCCCAGGAGTGGGGGAGGGGAGAGTCTAAACTAATCTCAATCTCCTGGCCTCAGACAATCTTTCCACCCCAGCCTCCCAAAGTGTTGGGATTACATATTTTGCTGGAATGAAGCCAGGTTTCATGAGCATCCTCATCCTGCAACACCTCAATACCTTAGAGCAGTAGACCGCCATGGTGTCCCCATCAGGGACACTGGCGGGGTGCCACGCCAGCTGAATATCAGGCCCGTGGTGGCTATGCAGGCTCCTTGTATGACACAACTGATTTGTAATCCGGTGGCAGGCCTGCCCTCCCTCCCCAGTGAGAGCTTCCGCCGTACGTGCTGATTTATTGCAAAACCATCCCAAGAAGGGCCAGTCCCTCTTCCTGACACTGGCTGAGAAGGCGCTTCTGAAACTCCAAGTCTGCAGCACTGAGACCTCTGGGTTTCTCTTTGGACTTCCCCAGCTTGTGCAGCATGGGCCCACTTACTTCTCCATCCGGTAGTAGAGCATCCCTCGTTGGAAGTAAGCCACAGCCAAGTGCTTGTCTCGGTTGATGCTTTTGGTGAAGGCCTGCGAGAGAAGGGTCCAGACAGAGCCATGACGCAAGGCAGTGAGGAGGTGGGAAGTGAGCAGAGGGAGTCAGGAAGGAGCGTGAAAATGACAGGGGTCTTGAAGGCCACAGGCAGCCCGGGGCTCAGAAACCCAGGTCAGAACACCCTGTACCGCTGCTTCTTCCCTGGGGAATGCGGCAAGTTACCTCATCTCCCTGGACCTTAGGTTTCTTTGCAAAATGGGGATATTTCTAGCTGTCTTAAAAATTAACTTAAGATAAAACAGCATAATTAAAATATTATCTAAATTGTTATAGTTGTGTGTTATACAAATGTACAGCATGAATAGTATACAATTGAAGTGATAACAAATACGAATGCCTAGACAATGCTAGTAGTGACCGCTCAAGCCAGACAGAGGGGGGAGAAGGCCAGAAGCAGAAGAATGCAAGGAAAAGCGGAGGCCAGTGAGCATGGAGGCCTGGAGGCTGAGAGGTGAGCCTCCCACAGCCTTGCCCCATTCGGACGGTCCAGGTCCAGGCAGGAGTGGACAGTCCCTGCTGCGTGGCCAGGCCCCGGCTAATTGTGTCCTCGCCAATCTCCTCTCCCAGCAGGGTGCACTGTGTCCCCATCGGCTCTCAGAATGTAGGGTGCTGTTTGCTCAGCCCCTTAGCAGGTTTCTGAGAGCAGTGGAGCTGCGGGTCCCCTCCAATAGCCAAAGATGGGGGCCTTGCATTTTCTGCCCTGGAGTCTGAAATCCACTGTCAGGCTGAGAGAGCATTACAGTCACTTCTGTCCCTTTCTGTCAGGAAGATGTGGCTGAGGCTCGTTCACCTGCCAGTCAGAGCAAGGAGGATTGTGGGAGGAACTAGTTATTTAAGGGCACTGGGGAGTCAGCCATCTGCCCATGAACCACACTGCGAAGGCTGGCAGTGAAAGGTAAAAATAGGCCAGGCACTGTGGCTCACACTTGTAATCTCAGCACTTTGGGAGGCCAAGGCGGAAGGATCACTTGAGCCTAGGAGTTCGAGACCAGCCTGGGCAACATAGCAAAATCTCAACTCTACACACACACACACACACACACACACACACACACACACACACACACACACACACACATCAACCAGGCGTGGTGGCGTGCACCTGTAGTCCCAGCTACTCAGGAAGCTGAGGCAGAAGGATGGCCTGAGCCCAGGAGGTCAAGGCTGTGGTAAGTTGTAATCCTGTCACTGCACTCCAGCCTGGGGGACAGAGTGAGACCAGAGGAAAGAAGGAAGGGAGGGAGGGAGGAAGAGAAGGAAGGAAAGAAAATAATAACTAACAGCTGGTGTCTTGCTTAATCCTCATGACATTTAAACCCTCAAGAAGCTGACAGTCGGAAGCTTATTGACTTAAGACCAAAAGTCCAGAGTGAAGTCGAGCTGGGATTTGATCCTAGACCTGCTTCCAAACTCCACACCCTTTCTAGCTTACCGTGACCGATCCAGAAAGAGATTATTGAGAATGCTCGACTCCATGGCAGCGCATCTGAGAGATAAAAAAAATATTTGAACGAGACCAGCCTGGGTAACGTGGTGAGGCCTCATCCCTACAATACATTTTTAAAAAGTAGCTGGGCATGATGGCGCATGCCTATAGTTCCAGTTACATGTTGGGCTGAGGCAGAAAGATCACCTGAGCCCAGCAGGTCGAGGCTGCGGTGGCCGTGAGCGTGCTACCGCACTCTAGCCTGGGCGACAGAGTGAGACTTCAACTAAAAAAAAAAAATTGAAAAAGACTGCAAAGATACCCCACGCCAAGCCCCTGGCAGACAGCGCAGTCAATTATGGGATAATTTCCTCCTGCCAGCCTCAGATTCTTTAAAAGAGTCCCCTGCATGACTGATCAGAATTGTCACTTGAGATAAAACCTGTTTTTCATAAATGCCTCTCTTGGATCTCTTGGGCAGGCAAAGCTGACACACGTGAAATTCTTGGAAAGCTGACAGAGAAAACTTATAATTGGGTGCAAAGCTGTGAGACAGGGCTCCTGTGTCCGCAGGAGTTTGTAGAAGAAAATGCAACTGGGAGAGCCCTCCCAAAGGTGTTAATTAATGAACTTGACAGAATGAGTCGAATTTAGTAGGTGGAGAAGAAAGGAAGCAACCCAGGCTCCATCACAACCTTCCGGGAGTTTTAACACTGTGGCTGCCCAGGCCCCTCCCCAGACCCATAAATCAGGCTCCCCGGGGGTGGGGCCTGGGCCATCTTTGTCGGTTCAGAGCTCCCTGGAGTGAGGTTTCCCAAGCGCCGGGGTTGAGAGCCGAAAGCACCCAGGGCAGAGCAGGCGGGGAAAGGCGCCCGCACTCACCCGCTCCGCCTCGGGCGCGTTCCCCAGGATGCTGTGCACGCAGCCGATGTTGAAGCAGATGCGGGAGTGGGGCTCCTGGACGGCGCTGAAGGCGTCCAGGGCGCCCTTCCAGTCCTTCTTGTCGGCCGCCAGCACTCCTTCATTCCAGAGGCTGATGGCCTCGGCCAGGGACATGGTCAGGTGGAGACCGGGAGGCCGAGAGAGCCGCCAGGAGACAGGGAGGCCGGGCAGGGGCGTCTCCGCCAGCAGGGTGCTCACGATCCCGGCCTGGGAGCGAATGGGCCCCGACCTCCCTTAAGACACTTCTCAGTGTTGCGAATGCGTCAGGAAGTGTCCCCACCTTTCAGCAACTGACGCCTAGCCCTCCGAGAGGAGAGGAGGAAAGGG